TTCGTTGAGTTTATGTTGGGTCACACTAATATATAAAACCAACAATATAAACAATAAAATGTTTGATTTCTTTTGATGTAAACTACGAGGTGGGGACATGGGAGTTGACCCAAGAAGAATTAAGGAATTGTCACTTGTTGGAATTGAATTTAGGTTATCCCAAAGATCATCCGATCCCCACAAAAAAAAATTTCTTTGCCACTTGAACTACCACTTTGAGTTTTTTTTAAAAAAAATCTTGATGTTAAGTAATTATATCCATCACATTTTGACTAGCTCTTAATTTTACGGGAAAAAAAAAAAAAAAAAGAGTAGCTATATTTATTTTGTGAGCTCCCGTGTTTAGTACTCGTATTTGATCACAAATTCATCTCGATCTAATCTCAAACTTCATCATGAAACATGGTTAATCCAGGCTGATCTGATTGAGGTAATAACAAGCGAAGAACAAGTGGAATTGAGTGAGATGATGATGAGGATAATTCATATAATGGACATGAAAAATGAATATAATTAGAAACCTGAGTTTATAGTTTTGGGCCTACCTGCCTTGATATTTAGTAGGAGTTGATCCTCTGTCGTCCTCATTTTTATTTTTTGTCTTTCTACAAATGAATTTGTCATTAAAATTTGAATCAACCATCACTCATCTTTGAATAAAACACATCCTTAAATGTCACATCTTTGCAAGTTAACCCAAATTCCCGGCATGTAGGACTTATGTTGTTTGATTGATAATTTAGATACTTTTTTTTTTAAATAATAAAAAATATCACTATCAAATCTCATTTCATCATATATTATAAGGGACCGATTTACATGGTATTCTAACTAATTCAATAATTCAAAATGTTTGCTCAAATGTATTGGACCAAAGAACTAACATTTCGGAAGGCTAGACCAATTGGATTTTGTCGAATTGATAGATTGCTTGTTGCTCAAACTTGCTTTAATTTACAAGAGACATATTAAACTAGGTGACCAACAACCTTAACCATTGCAGGACATTGATGCACTACCCACTTGCGCCCATGTCCACCAATTAAAAGGTGCCTTAGTTCACTTGCAAATTGTTATCATGACTTAGATTGCTGAAATTTATAATAAAAAGCTCCTTGATTATTGTACTATCTACACATATTCATGTTTTTTTTTTTTTTTTTACATACATCTCATTTTCATTACTTATATTAGCTTATTATGATATCTAATTAGTCATCCTTCTACTTGACTTTATAGCGTCCTAGTATACTTGAACAATAATAATAACACTTTTACTCTTTCTAGGTACTATACGTACTAGTAGTTATATCATAGACTCTGATCCAAAAATATACTTTCTTAACTTTTTTTCTTTTTCTTTTTATACATATAAAATTAATATACAAAAATATATATCATTAAAAAGCTCTAAGGTTATTTGCATCCAAGCACTATCCTCTCATTTTCAAAAGTAGATTAAACTATCCCATATCATCATATTTACAATTCACTATTATTCATTCTCAATCCATACAATTTCGACTCACTTTCAAATTTCACATCACACAATAAAATAATAATAATAATAATAATAATAATAATAATAATAATAATAAAGCACCTGCATGGGCAGCTCAACTGGTCATAGAGGTAAAAGTTTGAAAAAATGACTAGGGATCGAGTTTCACCAGTGGCAGTGTGGGAGCTACTTGGTGCCAAAACAAAAACTCGCAACTGGTCATAGTGAAGTGAAAAGTTGGAGACCAGCGGCAGTGTGGGAACTAACTACCTTTCGCCTAGCTAAATGCTCTGTCGGGTTGAGGTTCAACCTTTTGGAATAATAATAAAACAAAAGATTTTTTTTTTTTTAAATGTGGCCCACAAATACATTTGTGCATGGGCTTGCAAAAAAATAATAATAATAATAATAATAATAATAATAATAATAAAATAAACATTTGTGTCCCTATGTGGCAATTGCCACCTATAGATTTGCAATTCCCACCTAGATGAATTATCAAATTTATATTGATATCTTTTGAAATAAACTACAAGTCATTACTTTAGACATATAAATTTAATTCATAAAAATTTACTATTGTAGCACATAAATTTACTATTTATGTACATAAATTAATTAGCAACTGTAAATATATAAATTTACTACTTTTTTATCAGCTAAATAGCCTAAATTCACTATTGTAGGTGTATAAATTCAATAGTGTAAGTATATAGCTTCACTATTTTCTCATCGGTGTCTTTTTTATGTATCTACAATAATATTTATATATACCTAAAATATTATTTTTATGTACCTAAATTTGTCTTACAAGGTGAACCCTACTCCACAATATAATTTGTCTTTATCTTACCTGTGTTTATACCCAAGTTTAGGATCGGAGATTATTTTTCTACTTTTGCAAGCAATGAATTTATAATTAAAAAATAACTTGTAAAGGGTTGAAAATTTATTTTACTCAAAAGTAATAAACACTTTCTTGTTTCTCAATAGGTTGTATTGGCCAACTGTAAACTGTCCAATTCTTAAAATCAACAGTACTATTATATTGTTAGTATTAGAGCATATTATTAAGTTCAAACCGGCCAATGACTATCAATCACTCTCAAAATTTAACAACATATAACAGAAAACCGTGATGGGAGGCACGCCCTATTCTTATCACGTATACACTGCCATAAATGAAATTTCCTATTCCGAAAGGAACCAAACACTGGATATTTCCACACACTGCAACCTTAGCTTCCACAATCCTAAACACCCCATTGGTTAATCCTGTTGGCATAGGACAAGATATCGTGCAAGTTGTGTTCGGTTAGATACTATACCATTCACATCTTGCAAAAGAATTTAAAGTGCGAGTTACTGTCTACTTCGAATCACCGCAAACATCGATTTCACATGGACTAATATTTAAATTTGAACAATTCTCTAATTCTCTATTGGATTTGAGTATTTATTGGAATTTTGATATTATTTTATAATGAGAAATATCATGCACATGCACATGCACTATAAACCATATTTGGTACATAGATGAGCTAGCTAGGCTGGCAAGAAATGGACAATAGGTGGTTTTGGTCGGGGCAAGAAGAGGACAGCGACCACCGTCACGGCCGTCACTCGTACTCTCGTCGGTATAAGTTATCCCAGATTTAATTTAATTGTATTCCTTCTGGGCATGGCTATCCAAGTGAGAAGAATTTTCTGGACACAAAAACAAACCACAAAAAAAAAAAAAAAAAAAATGGGATTATTATTAATTAATATATATGATGCAACAAGACCGTATAGTACATAGTGCAAGAAATATGCAGAGATGATCTGAGTATGATCTGTGGTGGAGATTGAATGGAGATGGCACCAGAATTCCCTGGAGATCATGGCATCCACTTAACCAGCCAATTAATTCTTTGTTTTTAATTTCCTCTCAATTCTGTAGTTCTTTTCTTTCGTATTCAGACTTGAATACTATCTTGGCCCAGCCATTGATGGCATCCAACTGCTTTCTATATTCTCACAACCACCACCATTTTTTTTTAATTTCCTGTTGATTTATTGACCATAATATTCAAATATTATTAATTAATTAGATATGTTTTGTAATTTGTAGTGGTGTCATGTTACCAAATCTGTTCTCCCTCATACCAAGCCCACAATTGGTCGAGTGGTGTGATTATTAGATATGTCTACTCATTGGTTAGGTGTAGTGTTCTTGGCCTTATCCAAAACGATTAAGCCAAACTTATAATATAATCCTTTTAGATTTTAGATTTGCTAAAAAACATCAAGTAGTGAATCTTATAGTAATCTAAAGATGGTGGCAAATAATAGTGCTACTAACTACTTTTGATATCTGACTATTAGTAAAAGTGGTCAGTAACACTGACTATCATCACATTAGTAAAAGTGGTCAGTAGCTAGCTTACATTAGTCCACTATATATATAGTATGCAAAGGGTGACAACTAGCATCCAATTCAATGCATATCATGCATTAATCTACTGCACCATACACGTCCAAAAGAATCACAAGAGATGGAATTTAAAGAAGTGAACAAAAAAAAAAAAAACAAACAAGATTCAAAATATAGTATCAAATCAAATCATTTAAAAATAATGTTCGGTGCAATAAACATGCCATATATAACCAATTACTAGAAGTTTATAAAATAATTGTTGTATTTTGTGATAATTTCGTGACAATGCATTATCTATATTAAACGTTGAAGTGCTCAAACATAATTGCTAGTGGAAACTCCACAAGCTCCACTTAGGTCAATTGAACATAAATTTAACCACTAATTGCCAATAATATAATGTTATCAAATTAAATAAACTTTATCATTGGGGGATCATGCTATTAAACAACATTAATCAACCCCACATTCTAGCTAATTTCAAGATTTTTATTCAAATCCAACTGTATTAAAGATGGCTGAACTGCAAACTTCTCAGTTGTTATACCACGGAACGGGGTCCACCAGACCTTGCTGGTTCCAAATTGTGTACTTTTAGTATTGTTATTGTGAATTTATAGTATATAAATTGTGTTTCTAAATTTTAAAAACTTGTAAATACAATAAAGGTCATCACAAATTGTAAATTTTTAAAAGGTAAATGGTGTATCTTTAAACCCGGGTCCACAGAATAATTTGCCCAGACCTCTTCATCGAATCAAAAATAGATTCTTCTACCTTAGATGGATATATATAATTACGTCCACTAAATCATTGTATTTGTGGACCACAGGAAATTTAATTTAAAAAAAAAAAAAAAAAAAAAAAAAAAAAAAAAACTGTATCTGTATTCTGTAGGCTCAAACGGCGGCTCAGCAAAACCGCGGTGGGGTAAATAGGCTGGCTCCTAAATGACGAATAAACGACAACCTTAGCGCAAAGCAAGGCGAGAATGCCACGTTGGCAACCCCGCCCCCTCGCGGTTTTCGCGCTTGCCACCTGCGCGGGCTCCACCTCCTCCTATATATACGGATCCCCTGGGAATCGAAGGATTCAATTCAAACGGTTTTGCGATTAGTATTTAGTACAGACTGCTTCAGTGAATCTGGTGCGATGTTCTTCCCCAAACTGAGGGCGTGTTGGGGCGGCGCAACCATTGCTCCGACGGCCGAGACGTCGAGGAAGCAACCGGACGAGGCCGATAGCATCCCGCCGAGGAGAAGTACGAGGAGTACTGTCAATAATGCTAAGAGAGCAGCGAATTGGAAACCGAAGCTACGGGTGATCGCCGAAGACGGGGTGGTGGGGGGTTATATAGATAGAACTTCTGGCGGCGGCGCCGGTGTACGGACGGCTCCGTCTTCAGAAAAAAAATCGCCGGTGAAAGCCAAACCGAAATCTACGGGGACAGTTTCAGGAGCATCCAAACAAACCGACTATTACCGGTATTCCCTTATCTTTCATTCCGATTATAGTTTTCCAATCCCTCGTATGATTAGATTCCTAAATTTCTTCATAATTTTCAGGAAATGTTCCCGTCCAATCCCAATTCCGGCATTCTCTCCGGCGCCGTTCTTAATTTAAGTTCTGATGGAGCCTTTTTCTGCTCTTAGTTATCCACTATTTTTGTACGTAAAACCGAATATTATTCTGTAACTATTTGTCTTGCTAATTACATGTCTACCGTTTTTGAACAAAATTTTTAATGTCTATAGTATAATAATGTATTTATAGTCCAAAATTATTTCTTGCTTTTGGTTTTCCAGTTTTTTGTTCTTCCATTTATTCGAAGTCCAGAATTCATTGTTCACCGTACAACTTTCACAAAAAACAAGAAACACAGGCCACCCTGGAATGGTGGCAAGAAATATCAAAAGCAGCAACAGAAATCAAGAATCAATAGTGCAATTGACAAACAAAATTGAAGAATTGAAATAAACTCAACCCAAATCTATCTAGTATAAACGCAACCCGAATCTATCTTGTATGAACGCAACCCGAATCTATCTTTGTATAAACGCAACCCGAATTGTGTATCCACTATTAATATGTGATGCAAAGTGCTAACAATAATGAAGCTGCATATATATCCACAATGAATATCCAAGATTCAAATGAGATAACTATCACTAAGAATAGGCCTTTTATAACATAATAACAATAAAGTTTTCAAGAATATAATTAGCATATGAATATGGAAATAGAAAGGAAAATGTAAAAGTGGACTTCTAAAGCAAAAAGCTTACAACAAAACACAATCCGCCCTATGACACTAATCATCATCAACAAAACAGGTTTGTGTTTCTAGAGCAGAGAACTAAATCAAAATATCTAAAGCTCAAAATTCACCCTGCAGAAACATCTATATAGCTAGCCATAATACATAAAGCTTCAGCTTCAGCATTTACCTCTTTATAGTCTCGACGATCAATTTGATCTGTTCCCCCATCAAATCTGTCATCTTCAAGAATAGTTCAGCCTCTTCCTTCAGTATTTTGGTCCACTGCTCCTCAAACTCTTCTGCTTTGGAACTCCCTATCAAACTCAAATTTTCCTGAATAATTGCAAGTGCCTCTTCTGATAACTTAGGCATATTTGCTTTATTGAAGGATTGAACTAGGCGTGGATACTTAGATTTGAAATCCCCTTCATCTTTCAAAGAAATCCCAGTATCCTTGTCTTTGGTAACATTCGGTTTCTCCTTTTCTTCTTCCTTGGTTACATCAAAGTCACTAACTTTAGCAACCTTCTTTGGCTCTTCCTTGGTTACACCAACTTTAGCACCCTTCTTTGGCTCACTAATCTTCTTAATTTCAGCAGCCCTCTTCGCTTTCACATTAGAGCTTTTCGTGTTCTCATTTACACCATTGCTAACTCCACTACTGCCCCAAACCTTTTTTGAGACCTCAAAAGTCTTGTAATCATGAGGCTTATTGAAATCTGGGGTATCCCCTCTTTCTATATTGGTAAAGAACTTCTTTCTAAATCTCCTAATTTTCTCATACATCTGAGTTCTGGAAATATCAGCCTGTAATTTCCCCTTAATAAATTCATGGAAAGCAGACAAATCAGCAGAAGGGTCAGCCCCTTTTTGGTTCTTGTAATCAATCATACCTTCTAGAACAGCAATTTCATCGTCCTCGTTCCACACCCTGTTAAACCCGGCAGAAGCCGAACCTGGAACCTTCTTCTCCTCCGCATTCCCATCTTCTTCCCCGGACTTGAGTTTCTTCTTCGCCGACTCTCTTACAGGGGTCTCCATCGGCCGCTTTGCCGGGGGCTTTGAGGCCGGAGGGGCATTAGAAGGGAGGTTAGTTTTGATTGTGAAGTCCGAAACGGAATGCGAGGGTTCGGTGTGTTGAGAAGAATCCGAGCCCTCTTCGTCGGATTCAGATTCGGATCCGGAGGAAGATTGTGGCTTTTGAACGGTGGGCTTCTTCGACAATAGCGGCGGCGAAGGGGCCCTTTTGGGTGGTTGCTCCGGTGCCTTTTTGGGTGCTTGTTCAGGGGCTTCTTCATCTTCTTCCTCGGATTCTTCTTCAGAGTTTTGGGTTTCTTCTTCCGGGTCGGATTCTTCCTCGTCTTCAGATGAAGATGCAGATGGTGGCTGGTCTACTAGACGCGTCTGGGATTTGGGAGCCATTATTGTTTCTGAGAACGCTCAAGACGAAGAAAGAGGCAACAGAAGCCTTGGAGAATTGGAGAGCAACTAGTACGAGCGGCTTGTTTAGGGTTTTGCATTATATATACTCCTCAAACATCGTACCTGTAAAGTTTGAGCCCATTTATGTCCGGCTTTTTAAATTGTTCTGCTTCGTTGAGTTGTATATTGTGCAATTGTTGTTACACTTGTTTCAATTTTTTCCTTCTACATCTGATTTTGATTAAATTTTAATTTTGGTCCACTAAATATTCAAGTCTGATTAATTGCAATCTATGACTTTCAAAAATATTAATTTAGTATTTTAAGTATGTAATTTTTATTAATTTTAGTCATGTCGACTAAATTATCAACCAAATATGACCGAAAAAATATTAATAGGTAAAATAATGAATGTGTTTTAATTAATTTACTCTTTTTTTTCTTCTAAGACGGATACATCTCTTCTCTCCAATTTCCGACGATCGTTTCTTCCTTCGTTCATGAATCTGTCATGTCATTCTTCAATTAAAGGGTCCATAATATAAATAAAAGAATGTTGAATAATCAAATCATTTTTGTGAGTGAAGACAATGATTTAACTTTTTTCAAATCATGTGGTAAAAATGTGATGAAAAGTGAAGGGGTGCCTAACATTTGTTTTTTACTATAACCCTCAACTATTGATAAATATTAATGAGCGATAGAGGGTAATTCTTATTTTTTTCAGGAGAGCCATGTTCTTATTTGATCACACACATACTATCGGATCTCGTGAGAACAATCACACAAGTAGAAATTACAAAATGATTTTAGCTGTTGATTTGAAAAAAGATCAACAGCTAATGAACAGTAAAGTATGAAGTAAAAAAAATATTATGATATTTGGATATATATTTAAATTTTGAAGTGCATTGTACACAATACAAAGTACATTCGATGATATATAAAAATGCACCTAAGAGGATGCACTTTGTTTATTGTTCAATGTATCTTGTACTACTGATCAGTGCACATTGTAGTATATGCACTTTAAATTTTTTGTGCCATTATGCACTTTAAATTTAAAATACTTATCGAAATAGCAGCATATTTCTTTTTAGTTTATAATAAACCGCCTTTAATTTCCTTCCTCGATCGAGTTAATATGGAATTTTGGTAACTGACTAACTGTATTATAAGGGGCAAATTATGTTGTGCATCTGTATGCACCATGCATGGTGCATACGGATGCAAAAACGACGTCGTTTTATTAAAAACGCGCGTCTCCCCTTAAAAAATAAAATTTCATGTTCGATTCCCAGCAATAACTAAAATTTCAGAATCGATGAACTACAATTCCAGAATCGATGAACTATAATTCCAGAATCAATGAACTAAAATTCCATAATCTATAAACTAAAATTCCAGAATGAATGAACAACATAATGCTGTTGCTGGGAATCGAACCTGAATTTTTTTTTTAATGGGAGACGCGCGTTTTTTATAAAACGATGTCGTTTTTGCATCCGTATGCACCATGCATGGTGCCTACGGATGCACAGCATAACTACTCATTATAAGGTATTAATAGAGAAATAATAATTTAAAAACTAAAAATAATTATGTTTATAATTAGAGTTGTCAATACGGGCTAGCCCATCACAGGTTGGAATAATCTCAATCTAGCCCGTTGGTCATGGGCTGATGGGCCAAACAGGCCAGCCCGCACTACTTAAAAAATATATATTTTATTTTGTTTTAAGGAATTTATTTAATTGTTATAACACTTATAACTTATAATAAATAAATTCACAATGACAATTTAATTATAGAATGGTAGATCGACTTCCTAATTCCAACACAACATTCAAATCTTATAAGTTTTCAACACAATGTTAATAAAACATTCAAAGTGTTAAAGTCTCGCAAAACTCACATAATCAAAAGTTCAAAACATTCAAAGTGTTCAAGTTCCGCAATACTCACATAACCAAAAGTTCAAGAGTAGTTAAAGTGCCAAACATTCAAACATAATTTAAATCCAGAAGTCCATAAATGATAAACTCATTAGTGAGTAGTGACTACAATACAACAAAGATATTAGAAACATTCCCAATAGCATAATTGTAACTATAAAAAAAATAAAAAAATAAATTAGTAAAACAATAAATCAATAAATAAATATACAAATCTTAAAAAAGTAATCTATAAAGACTAAAGTACCTTCATCCACCAAGAACATTAGAAGCCTTCTCAAGCAACAATTCGTTCACCAATACTATATCTTAATCATCTACCTAAATTTATAAAATAAATCATTAGTAATTTATAAGTATTCATATATTAAGTAGTAACTATTAAATAACGATTAAAGAATAATAATAATGCATTAATACCTTTATAATTAAATCCTAACACCCAATTACGAGTACAAATGAGTGCTTGAACATTTATATATATACTAGTTTTTTTTACGCGCATTGCGCGTTTGAGATAATGCCAAATGTTTTTTTTAAATAAGTACTATAAAATATATCAATGCAAGATTATATTGGAATTGTTAATGCATAGATAATTGAATGTTGAATATGCATATTTAAATAGATAATTCTAAGTTTACAAATGTAAGATAATATAGTCAAGATTGATTATAATTGTCAATAAAATAATTATATGGCTATGGTTGAAACCAAATACGGGAAATAAGGGAGAACAAATAAAAATTAGGACATAAAATATTAAATATACACTAATATTGATGAGCTAACTACGGGTTGCCAAACAAGGACATTGCCAGATAGTTTCCCACTTCAATTTGTTGTGTGATTTGTATACTCTTTTTTGACAATAAATCTCTCAATTAAATGGCTAATTTTTTTAAATATATTTTTTCCAATCGTTGATATAATTCGCTGGTCAAATCCGCTAACACTAACTGCTGATTATTAAACAAGGACATTGCTATGTAGTTCTCACTTCAATTTGTTGTGTGATTTGAATATTCTCTTTGTTAACAAATCCCTCAAGTAGTTAATATGACTGACTTTATTAATATGTTTTTTTTTTTAATTTTTAATTTTTTCATGCTATTAATAAAATAATTGATAAATAAATATATAGCATTATTTTGTATTATAACTTTGATATTTAATTAAAAAATAGTGAATATAATTAATTGATTAATTTGAATGTAAAGAATTTTTACATTTGAGAAAAATAAAGACAATATAACTAAAGAAATTATTTCTCTTATTTAATTTATTGATAGTGAATATATATATATTTTTTTTGAATAAAGACATTGTACACACATAATTCTAAATTAAAGAAATGCATATGTATTTTTTTTTTGTAGCTACTAAATTATTAATTAATTAATTTAATAAAAGTAAAATAGAGTACTAATTATGCCAACTTTAATTTGATTGGGATGGGGTTCGAACCTGAGACCTTTCTTATTAAAATCAATGAGTAAGTTAACGGTGAACTAACAGAAACTAACGAAAAAGATAATATTTAACGGAAAAGTTAACGAATAATCATATTCATTAAGGATAAATTAGAAAATCTTAAGGAAAAATTAAAATCTGATCAATCTGAGTCATTCATTTGATTAAAAAAATTAACCGTCATTTTTTCTACCAATTATTATAGCCCTAAATCTCTTGGGCTCTTATTAGTATAATAATATATATATATATATATATAGTAGATTTTTTAATTTTGATTTTGTATTTTATCTTTTCTTTTTTTCTTCCCTCTCATTTTATCTTTCTTAACAAAAATTCTTCAAAAATGTTTTGGAGCTCGAAAACCTCACACTACTGAGGATGTTCTAAGACGGAGCTCGGAGCCGTTCAATAGCTCAAGTTTCCAGATTTCCACTCTTCTTCTTTTCTACTGTCTTTAATATTTTACAGAAAATTCTAATTGAAAATTATTATTTGTAAAAATCAAATATTAAACCTGTCAGGTCTGTATATCTTACTCTGCAATAGATCGCCGCCGCATCAGAAAGTTATTTTTGGCGGGGGTTCGGGGCGAGGGATAGAGAAAAAGCGGCGGCGCTTTTGTGCGGGGAAATGTCGCAATGTTCGTCGTTTGGCAGAGAGCAGCGGCTTTGTCCTTGTTGCTGGCTCCAAATTCATATTTGGTTTACTAGGGAATTAGAAATCCAGAGAACATTTCTGGCATTGCTTGCTTGGTTGACTATCTGTTCCCATGTATGAGGTACGAGGGTCATGTCTCCATCACTATTTATTTGAAATTGCATTTGTTTGTGGATCATGGTGAGGCTTGGAGAATTCGAGCTCCTAATTGGTAGCGTAAAGGAAGTAAACTAAAGCGTATATTCTTTGCTTGCAGTTTCCAGTAAAGTAAATGTAAGATGAGAGCAGTGATCATCCGTAGCTCAAAAGCGGAGCGAATGTATGGATTTGGTAAAGCAATATTATGCCCTTTTGATCCTTAGCTCTCTTTCTTTTTCCCTTGCTGGCTAAGCAAATTATATATCCTTCTGAATCTTACTTTTGGACGTTTCAAGTTTACTGAAACTGTTGATTGATTATTTCTTGTTACAATCACGCCTTTTTTCGTTATGTGGAAGAGTATTGGTCATAGGAATTTGAGATGGACCTTAGATGAAGCATGGTATTTGGTTCCATTGCCTTTATTCTGCTTCACTCTAACCAGGCCTTGGCCCTCCGTTTATAAGAACCAGAACGCATTTTGCAACTGAAGAAGCCATAGAAATCATAGTTAAGCTCTCTTAAGAATTGCCACCATGGGGAATGTCAAGGAGCAAGTTACAAATAGTAGCGAAATCTTTACCATGGAGGAGACTGCAGTGCTTAAGAAAATTAAGGCTACTTATGATCTAGACAACATCGAATTCAATATGCTTCCTATCCTAGAACTCATTGAGGATATTATATACACTCCCAACATGTCCTCTGATTCTGCGGTTAGTATTATTTACGCTAATTATATCTTTAATATGATATTTTTGCACAATTGTTCAGGCATCACTCTCCAATGCTTTGATTTATTGACTCACAGATTTGTCTCAAAAAAGCTATACATTTTCCAGTGCTTTGTATAGTCATTGTCTGACATTTATTTTATTTGTTAGGAGGAAAGGCCAAAGTTCCAATATGAAGCCATTGGGAAGATGCACCAAAATTTGGCATCGAAAATAAATGTCATTTCATGTGAGGTAAAAAGGGCGAGTAATACTTTTTAATTGATAATGTAGGATGAAATGTATACATTAAAATTTTAAATAATGTCTTGCATGAGAATGTAATGGATAACATGTGTCCCAGATATTGGGAAGCTGTAACAGGAATCAAGACACAAACGAAATAGTGCTCTCCATGTTTGGTGCTCTTTCAACTTTGAATTGGATTGCAAAGGGAGTAGTTGCCTTAGCAGCTTTTGCCATCAATTATGGAGAATTTCGGCTTCTTGTCGAGCAACACTCCACAGATTCTACAGCCAAACTGCTATCATTACTTGAGAATGTGCCGGCAGACTTTTTTAAAGAGGAGCTCTATATCAAAATTGCCAACTTAGCCAAGGCTGCAATGGATCTGATTAAGTACATTTGGAGGGTGAAGTACTTATATGTTAATCACATTAGTTCTAAAACACCAATAGAAGATCTGAACGCGAAACTTCATATTGCTATCTATTGGATAATTCAGAGTATTGTGATTTGCCAATCCATTATCACAAACCTTACCAGCACGGGATACGAGTACGCTTTGAATTCTTGACTGTTGACATTTGATGTTTTATATTTATCTCTTGACATTTTCTTCTCCATACCTTTCGAACTGTTCTATACTGAGGTTAGCTTCACCATAAAATGTGTGACTAGGAGCATATCTTCTACCGCAGAGCAGTGGGAGCTATATTATCTAGGGGAGAAAGTGACTGAGTTTCACCAACAAATTGGTATGTCCTCACATTTTCAGTTTATTAATCATATTTTCTTTTTCTTGACCTGTAGAATGTAAATGTTTTAGTATTGTTTTTGCTAACCATTATGTGGAATGGGTTCTGGAAAATCCAATCATTTTGTCTTGAATCACATGATGAATCTATAGAAAGAGAAACATCTGAAAAGCTATGGAGCCTTTTCCCCCAGAAGAATATCACCATTCTAACAAATGTGATCTGCTGTGAAGACCATATGCCCGTGCCACTTATTGATGGTGACACAAAAATTCCAGTAAGTTTTAGAAAATTCTAGAAATTAAACTCTAAATATGATGAATATTAGACTTAATGAATTTGAATTCGTGCTAATTTATCATAATGAAGACCCCAAACTGAAACATTTATGCTACAATGACAGCAAAAGGTTGACATGTTGAAGAATAAACCAGTGCTGCTATACATTTCAAACCTTGATCCACCTAAAGATGAAATTGAAACTGTGAAACGGGTACATGCTGCACATAAAGATAAGGTCCAATTTGTCTGGTTGCCACTCTTGGATAAATCCAAATATTGGAATGAGGAAACATATGAAAAGAAACGAAAATTAATGCCATGGCTTGTTGTACGGAAGCCTCAATTGCTAGATGGGACCATTGTTAAATTCATCGAGAATGGTTGGGAGTTCAAGAAGAGATCAATAATTGTTGCATTTGATAGATATGGCAATGTTGAGAACAAAAATGCATTACCTATGATTCTCATTTGGGGAAGCATGAAGGCTTATCCTTTCACTGATGGCAAGGAGACAGAGCTCTGGAAATCTCAGACATGGAGATTAGAGTTACTGCTCCCCCTCCCTGAATTTACATCAGAACCTAATGGTCGTGAAAAGATCACTCAGTTGGATCAATGGGTAAGAACTCAGCTATTGATCATTTCTTTCTTTCGTCTTCTTCCTTTTCGGATACCTAGCTAGTACTTGAGTTGCATATTTTCAGTCCATTTAAGAGCATAAACCATTGTGGAAATTTTCATATATTTATTAATGTTTTCTATCATTGCTCCAACAATTTGTTTCTAAACCACAACTGGTCATAATTATTTCAAATTGTATCAAAGTATGAAATGTAGTAATTGGAAATCAATAGGACCTTTTTTGTCATGATTTCATACCCAACTTCCTTTAATATGCCTAGTCTCTAGTAGCAGAATTATTTGTTTTTTCTAAATTCCAGATTAAAGATGAGAAGAATTACATATGCATGTATGGCGGAGAAGACATAGAATGGATCAAGAGATTCGAGGCCAGAGTGGGAGATATTGCAAATGATTTGAGTATTCCCTCTGATAATATGAAGATGCTTAACCTAGACAGCTTGAGTGTGGCTTGGATAACATGGGCAAGGATTGAGGCAATATTTGTTTCTCGTTCCAAACAAGCAAATGAACAAAGTCATGATCCAATCAAAGAGGGAGCCCTGACAATGTGTAGCTTCCACTGGAGTCGTCGTGGCTGGGCAATCATCAGCAAATGCTCCAGTAATTTAATGGCCAAAGCGTTGGGCAACGTTATGCTCAACTGCTTGAATAAGTGCAAACCTGAAGAGTGGAAAAAGAATGGCCTTGTGGAGTCTTTGAATGCTTGTATATCAAAGAGTTGTGAGACCTTACATTTCCTGCCAACATTTCCAGAGATACCCAAAATGAGAGTTTGCTCCCAAAGTTCCTGTGGTCGTCCAATGAGGAAATCCGTCACCTTCCATTGCTTGGGTTATAACAAAACACAGAGTACTAATCCAACGGCAGAGAGCTGAGGTGGTCCACTGATCCATAAAAGGGGAGGGGTGATTCTTCAGGTACCATTAACCCCAAATTTCCACCCTTCAATTCTCTTGTAGAATCTCAATCTTGAATGCCCCTGTTTGTAATCTGAGACTCCCAAATCTTCAACACTATTTCTTCATTTGTTTTATAATTAGTGTGTGAATTTCCTCCAGTGGTGTTTTGTTTTGGATGCCACATGATTATCATAACTTATGTGTATTTATTTCTCAATTTCATATGATGATATTCCTCATCATAAACACCATATGTATAAATAGTGTTTTGGTGATGGAGCATGCCATCTGTTACTATAAGTTGTGGTTTTTGAACTTGCTGGGATTCAATAATATGCATGTTTTAAGTATAAAGATTTGCACATTATGCTATGAATGCAATAATTGCTTGCAGGCCAAAGGCCATCTACTCTTATCTGATTGACTGAGGCAATAACTCCAACACTTTTCAGTATATAAACACGCTACAATTTTATTTGTTTGAATTTTTTTTTTTTTTTTTCTGATGCTAATTACAAAGCTTCCTTTAACTAGAAAAAATGTATCCATAGCAAGTAAGGTAGTTTGGCTAATACATTGTTTTTACCTGGCATTGTTGCCGCAGTCAATCAGATAGAGCAATCGTTGATCGTCTTTAGTTATGGTGATTGATAGGGGTGAGTATAGGATTAATGCATGTAAACTAGTTCTTCTTCTTTGCACTCTCTAATTCCGATTTCCAGAGCTTTATCTGCTGAAGAAGACAGCACATCGCAACAATGCCTCCGCGGTGCTAGTAACTGCAAGCATTGTGAAAGGGCTCAGAAATAAGAACAAAATGCTATGAATTTAAGGAGGCTCTAAAAGTGTCAGTCAGCTATGTGCAACTTAGACTGGTTTATCTTATTGGAATCCTTTGTTGGTTAGGGTTAGGCAGGATTTACCCAGTGTATACTCTTGGGTAGTGACTATTGGTTTTTCTCGGTCATCCAAAAAGAAAAGGACGAAGTTCTGAAAGTGTGTACCTCTTTACTGTCGAGGTCTAACTTCTGGGTAGAAACTCTGATTTCATCAAGGTTTCTGGGAGAAGCCTTGTCAAAGGTGCAATTTTCTGTTGTCATTTTCCTGTAAACGCTGGTGATTCCATCTCTGTGGGAAGAAGACACTCTATCCATGTAGAAAACCGTCTGCCGGCGGCAAGGATCAGGGTGATAACCCCGGGAATCGAAGCCATAAGGTACGTCCTTCTTGTTCTTTCTCCATGGCGAGTAACTCTCCTGCGCTCGCAGTGCATCTGGCAAAAGCAGATGGCTTCCATGTATTTGCACTGCATAGCCCCAAGAAACCGAAATGGTCCAGGAAAACCACCGATCATAACACACCGTTTGCTGCAAAATCCGGTGGGGATCAATGCTGGCGGCTTTGTACAAATGCTCCAGAGCCTTGGTCGTCGTCATGTTGGGGAAGATCGGATCGTAAACCTCCATGTGATGCAGAGAAACCAGAGGTCTGAGCGGATGTGCCGCCAACAATCCAAACACATCCCCTCGAATATCCATCTGTTCTCCAAAAAACACCATTAAAGTGCCAGTTTCCCTCGTCACCCAAAAAAGAAAGAAGTTCTAAACAGTACCTGGTGAAAACCGGGCTCGTGTGTTAATGAAACGCCGAGCTCCGATAAACAGGCATGAACTCTGGCGTCGCTTCCATACAGATGAGGGTAGCGGTGAAGACAAGAATCAAAGACTTTGGCCAGAGCTTTTGCCAGAGGATAGCTGATGGCGAAACCAGCTCCACCAAAGGCCATTTCAAAGGAAAAGAAACTGTTCTGCACCACGTCCTCAGAGCTGGTGCCGATATAGTACCAGAGCCCGTGATCATACTTGGACAGCGTCTTCACCAGATTATCCGGGAAGAAGACGGTGTCGTCGTCCCCGAACACGAACCACCGGACGTCGGAATGGTTGAGGGAGACCGCTTCCGATACCGCTCGAGCAAGGCGGATGGCAGATGGGTTGCCACCCCGGCAAGTGTACCGGAAACTGGATGTGTCCCCGGAAATGCAAACCGGAGGAAGAGAATCAGTGCCGTTATCCTCATGCTTTACCTCATCACGATCAAGAAACACGCATCCCCTCATTCCACTAGGCCTCCACCATAGCTTCACAAACTCCTTCCTCTTCCGCCACGATTCCTCGCTGGACGCAATGCCGAAAACAATGTGTTCCAGAGAAGTAGGGGACGACACATCCTGCAAAGAAACCGACACGTGGAGAAGATTGGTGCTGGGGACAAGAACAAACGTACAAACCAGGTACACTACGCAGAGAGAAGAGCAGATTAGAACGATATTCTTGAAGTTTTGCGACGGTTTAACTTTCACCGGAGCCTGAGAAAACACCATTTTCCCTCTGGTAATCTCAGTAGAAATGAAGAGTTTAGAGTCGGCAATTAAGGCGTTGTATAGGCGTACAGTACCGACCTGCCCGCAATCGTCGCAAAAAAGCAAGATGAATTTGACAACCTTTTACGTCTCCACATAGAACTAACGAAGTGCGTACGAGGACTACACGTTTCTGGTTGACCAAATTGATGAAGAACCCATTCTCGTCGAAGAATCTAAAGTCAAATCATGTGATTGGAAACTTCAATGCTAAATATGGGGGGTTTGTTCATCCCCAGAAAGGGGATTCAAATCATGGTTTCAAGATCACGAAAGCCACCATGCTTAACGCCGGCATGGCCTGTAATTCACGTAAAGGTGGCCACGTGCTCCATCCCTAACTATGGTAAAAATCTACGTCCGCGAAGACTGCAACTCAGCATGACAATTCAAAACTTGCGTCCCAACCGAAGTTGGTTGTTAGGTAAGAGTCCAATATTAGTCCACGCATCACAAAAGTGTTGTGTTGGATGAAGATGGAAACTCGCCACCGCTACTCGAGAGTGGGCACGAGGTAAACTCTACCTTATAAACTTAGTCAGCAAAGGACCACAAGAAGGTAAACCAACTCAAACTAAGAAGGCCAATAGACCAATACCACTGGGAGTTGAACTCGAATCTTGTGTGTTACCAAATCAATGGTCTGACTAACTTAGTTAGAGTTGCCCTCTCAAGTGATTTTATATACATACACATATGCATCAAACACATTGCAGACTGAGTATCACACGATGGCGTAATCATTAGAGTACACAAATTGAAATTTCTTCATATATAAAGTATACAAGTTACAAATACCAGCTGGTGGTAAAGGCCTTGGTTGTGGATCAAATGTCTTCACTATCCTTGAAAATAGCAGAGGCCGAGCAAAGAAACTTAAGAGGTAATCTGAACAAAGCTTCCAAGGTTTACTAGGGAAGTGAAGCTCAGTCTTGCTTTTGAGAGAAATAGCACTTATCCACCAAACTATGGAATCATGGTGCATGACCAAAGATGTGAAAACCCAGCATCCCTTATACAACATAAATTTGGGCACAGAGATCTCATGGTGCTGTGTCCTTTAGAGACTGTGGAAGCTTTCGGTTAGGTGGATGATGGTGTTGAAGTGAAATCTATGTCTGCATTCTGATAAGTTCATCTTCCCCGCATTCTCTAATGCCAATAACCAGTGTTTCATTAACTCGTGAAGAAATGTCACAGCAGTGGCGACGAGGAGCCTTCAGCTGAGTTAGGGGAAACAAATTAGTTTAGTAAATCAATTAAACACAGACCAATAGTTAAATAAAGATTCTTAGGGAGCCACATTAAGACCTGTCCAACATCAAAATCCAGCCTCCCCGAGAAGACTTTGACATTAACCAATTCCTTCATTGCAGTGTTTCTTTCACAGTTCCAAGCACCGTGCCTTGTGTACGTGGTCCAGGATCCATTTGTATGAGAAAGAACGCTATTCAAGTAGAAGATAACCGGCATTTCACATGGATCACTAGGGAAATCTTTAGTATTGAACATATAATGGCTCGAGAACACCTTCCCACCCCTCCTCCAAGGTCTGAATGTTCTCTGCAATTGGAGGAGATCCGGGAGAAGGCGATTCCCTTGGAACACCTGAACAGCATAACCCCAGGCAACTGAAACAGTGAACACGTTGGAATGGTCATAACAAACACTCTGCTGCAGTATCCGAGCCGAATCAGCACGAACAGCCTCGAAAAGATGCTCAACAGCTTGAATTTTAGACATTCCTGGAAAAATCGGGTCCACAGTATCTAAGTGATGAAGGGATGCTGCAGATGCCAATGGATGTGCAGAAAGCATCCCGAAAATATCTCCCCGGACATCAACCTGTGTCAATAACAAAACAACATTTCAATCACAAACAAACAACAAATGTTAGACAGCTTAGTTAACTAATCAATTCACATAATACAATGGCACCCATTTCATAAAGATTATACCTTTACTAAATTGATCAGAGCACTTAAACCAGAGCAAAGAGAAGGCAAGGAGCTTTACCTGATGAAACCCTAGTTCATGAGTCAAACTAACTCCAAGCTCAGCCAAGCAAGCAAAGATCCTGGCATCACTACCATACAAATGGGGATACCTGAACAGACAAGAATCCAAAACCCTAGCTAAAACCCTAGCCAGAGGAGCACTAATGGCGAACCCGCCCCCTCCAAACGCCATATCAAACGAGTGCTTCTCGTTCTGCTCGTAGCTCTCGGAATGGCACCCAATGTAATACCACTTCCGATCATCATACTTGGAGAGAATCCTCGCCACGTTGTCGACGAAGAACACGGTATCGTCGTCCCCAAACACGAACCAACGAATATCAGAGAAATCGAAATTTGACTTCAATTCGAGGTCCAAAGTGTCCTTGACGACGCGAGCAACGCGGATTGCTGATCTTCTGCCGGAGGGAAAGGTGTAAGGGAAACGGGAAGTGTCGGATGAGATGAAAACGGGCGGTCCGGGTAAGGAGCGATTGGGCCTATCGAGGAAAACGACGGCGTTTGTGGAGTTGGGATTGTACCAGAGGTTTAGGTAAGGTGTGCGGCGAGGGAAGGAAGGAGAGGAGCCGGCAACGGAAAAGAGAATTTGGGAGAGGGAGACTGGCGCGGTGGCGGCACAAGGGAATGGGGTGGCGGTGGTGATGGTGGTGACGGCGGTTGTGGCGGTGGGAATGGGGAGGTGGCGGAGGAGGTAAAGAAGGTAAAAAATGAAGATTGTGGAGAGGAAGAGAAGAAGATCTTTGACTCCGGTAAGGTGACAGAGGACTCTGATGGTCGTCATGTGCATGTCTACTCTCTCTCTTACAGAACTCCAAACTGCAATGGAGATTCTTTGAACTTTGAAGATTTCATCCGAACAAAGAATATGAAATTGCCGGCGACCGGCAACTGCTTCGGTGCAGACAGAATCTTTGCTACCTTTTGACTCTTTTATAAATATGTTTTTATTTTCATAATTCACACAATTTTTTAAAATAATTTGTCTTAAAACCTTAATAAAATTTGACCAACTTAACCTTAGGCCATCCACACTTGTGGATATTGTGGGGAGAATTCAGAATTAAATCTTCCCTTCATGAGATAATAGCTAGTGTGGACATGAGATAATTGAAAAATAATCTCCCTGCAAATGTAGGGAGATTGTCAGAAAAAAAAAAAAAAAAAAAAAAAAGAGAAAGAAGAAGAAGCAAGGCTGTGCGCGTTCGCGCACAGCCTTGGGCAAAAGCCGGGCGCGTGCACTGCACGCGCCTGACGCGTCTGACTACTTTCTTTTTTTTTTTTTAATTTTTTTTTGTTTTGTTTTTTTTTTTTTTCTCTCCTCTCCCACACTCTCTTTCCTAATCACTCTTACATTATCTCCCCATTCTTCCCAACCAATGTGGATGCTCTTATAATAATAACTTTTCTTTAAAACGACCAAAAAAAAAAAAAAACTTTTTGTATCTTTTTAAAAAATATTTTCTACACTTGTTAATTTTAGACGAGATAACCTAACTAGAGGCAAGTAAGGATTCACCAAATTTGCTAGATGAAGATGTATCCTCCCATTGCCTTTGATCATGGAGTATTTTTATAGTAGAAGGGTAGTAATTGTTTTTTTTTTTTTTTTTTTTTAGTGTAGTTCAGAGTTTTAATCATCGGACACAGTGATTAATTCGATCCCCTCGTTGAATTGTAAGCATATATATTGGGTGGGACAGCTGACCTAGAAATTTAAAAGTTATTCAATACCCAAAATCAAAGATTGAATCAGTGACCTTTGATTAATGATAGATGAGCTCCTTTCTACTCAATTACACCCTACAAATTGTAGTAATTGTATTTATGATATCCAGGCTTACCATGGTAATTGTGTAATAGTAGTAGGATTAATGGTCATTTTGGTGCAATGGCATGATTGATGGAATCACATTATTCTTAAGATCCAATTATTAAATAAGTATATACCCATTTCTAATTTTGTCGATATTATCCCTAACTTAAACACTTCAAGAAACGTCCCTCGCATACTTTATTTTCACGTCCCATTTAGATGACTAACCAAACGCAACTTCAACTCTATAGACTATAACTATACCTTGCAAAGTTGCAATCGCTTTCTTTTTAATAACCACATATAATAATAAAAATTAAATAATAATAATGTTTTTTTTTTTATATATACATTTTGTAATCCTGTACTCAATAATTGGAGAAATGATTAAGGGAAAAAAGAAGAAAACTGTACGGATTAATGGTAAAGTAATATGTATATGTATAAAGAAAACCCTTCAAGATTTGAAGATTTAATTAATCATATAATATATATAATACACGTGTAATTTAATCAGAGAAACAAGAAGGGCTTCTTGAGCGTTGTGGACAAGGTTTTGTTGCTATTTTCATGGCTACCCTCAACTCTACTATTACAACTACTACTTCTCTCCGGCGAGCTGACGATCGTCGGAAGAACCACCTGGACGGAGGTTCCGATGAGGTACCGCTGCGTGAGGCTCCGACACACGCCGCAAAGGAGGCACCTGATGTGGCGCTGCGCCAAGAAGTTAGCGCCGTGAACCCAGCCGTCGCATTTCCGGCAAAGAAAGGCGTCGTCGGCTTGGCAGTACAATGAAGCCTCCGAGTCGCAGAGCTCGCAGGAGACACGGCCGACGGCGGCCGGAGGGGAAAGCCGCCGGCAGCTTTCTGGGTCTCCTCTCCCCTTACACATAGTTAGTCTAGAGAAAAAAATTGGCGATAAAAATGGAAGGAATATATTGATGGGAAGAGGGGAGGCATTTATAGAGAGATGGACGTGTGGACTACTTCTTTCGGCATGCAATTCATGGCAACAAAGGAATGGTGTCCTTATTATGTGGTTTGGAATGAGTGAATGACAGGATTGCCACTACTACATGACAACAAATGGTCACTCTTTTACTCATTTCTCCATTCAACTTTCTTTGATCTTTGAGTGGTGCCCCCTTCTTGCTTACAATTTCATATAGGGGAATTATTAATGGGACCACACCAGCTCCGAGCAAGAAGTCATTCTCCTCACTTGAAGTTGAATTTAGAATCTTGTGATTGTCAAACTGATCTGACCATCTAACTAACTGACCTTTTACATTGGTATAATATATTCAGCTCAACTAAGAAATTTATAAACTGATAGTTAGTTAAATTACAGATTTATCCGGTCAGTTAATTTTAATATCGCATATGGGGGTTAATTAGTAATTTAGTAGCAAGTAGTGATTGCATTGAAGCAAGGTTGTTGATGAATCATGAATGAGAGGTGAGGATGATGAGATAAGATATTACTTGAATAAGCTATAAGCTTTATGAGATGCTTGGAGGAGTGTTATGAGCCATGATTTATTTTTGTTGGTGAGTGGTTAATAAGTCAATTATTTTAGTTTACTAAAGAAGAAATTTAGGTGTATGGCCAAGAATTAAAGTCGTGTGGGGGCCACATGCATACATTAGAGGTGAGAATGAGAGTCCCATATACATCACAAAAATGATTTGACTCTTCTCCTTCTTCTTCTTCAATTCTATTCAAGGAAGCCAATGGAACTCAACTGCTTTAAAGACTTGGAAATTTCACCAACTCTCTCTCTCTCTGCTGTCCCAATGGGTACGTGCACGCCTGGGAGTGGTGCCAACTGGCATATCTCCCAACTAAAATATCACTTTGGCTTAGCTTGTGAAACAAGTGTATGTATTATATTATATTCCATCTTTTAGAAATTTCTGGGTTGCAACATTACAAATTTACACCATACAAACTATTCTTTAATTTATCATTCGTGCCCTGAAAGAGACGGATAAATACGTGAAGTATGATTTTTGTATATAAAAAAAATCACGAATTTTATTATTCTGAACATATTTTCGATCGAATTTGTCCACACATAATCTTTCTAAATAATAGCGGACATGTTAGTTTTACGACGCCTCGCCAACACAAATAGGGAATACTATTACTATTTTGAGAATATAATGTTAATTTTATGTCATAGGTAATTGTCGACTGACCAATACAATTGATACTATTTTAAGAATGTCGATTTTATCATTAGGTGGTCAACGGCTAGCCAACACAACCATAAAAAGAAATGAATATTGTTAAGAAAAGTAAATATAGAATACTATTACGTACTGCTTTAGGAATAAATTAGAACATAAAATACATGTCTTAAATTTGATGGTAACTATCTATCTTATCCTTTTGTAATCTTCTTGAACAGGATTTGGACCCAATTAGTTAAGTTAGGCCAGTTCTGAAATACTAATTTCAACCCAGTCCTAACTTGTAATCCTTCTTGGTCCGATATACTAATTCATTGAATTCATTCCAATAAGATACAAATAATAACCTAACAACAACAATAATGTAGATTGTACACGTGGAAAAAAATAACTTTTATGGTTCTGTGGCTGTAAGTTGAACCCCTCTCGACTTATACATGCCACTTAATTCTATTTGATCTTTTATGCTTTGTTTCTTTAATTGTTTCTACTTCGTCGTACTGGAAAGCGATTTTTTAGTTGGAGACACTTCAACCTACCAATTTGTTTTTTCATAAGTTTTCTATTTTACCGGGCTATATTATAAGCTCTATAAATTTATTTTCTGGACTCATGATGAAAAGATAAATCAAACTAATATAGTTCCGAAATTCAACACAAAACTGTATACTTCTACCCACACAAAGAGTCAAATCTAAACCAAAACCTCTAATATATAGCGTGACAGAAATTGAACTCCCACCCTACAATTCCTACCAACATTAGTAGCAAACTATCACAAGACAAGCCCAATTGTGTTTTGAAATACATAATATTCAATATTTAATAAAATACCATATTATTATCACTATCAATATATATAGACTCGTATAATTAAGCGAGACAAGCGTACAAGGAACAAAAGAACAGTAATTGAAATTTTTGTCGTAATATCTAGTCATGGAATTTGAGCTCACTAGCTTATTGTCGACGTACTTACCCATGCTGTTAGTAAGTTGTTGCACTGACCGCCAAAATTAAAAGTGTTAGGTGGTTTAAAATGATACTCATGGACATGGACATGCCAGGTGTAGGGTTACATTTGCAACCGTACGTGCAATGGTATGATGTTGTTGTCGTGTGATATATCATGAGTAAAGAGGTAACTAACTTACTATTAGTATAATCATTTTATTAAGTCCGAAAATTATCCTGTCGATACTTTATTAGGCCTGACATACTTTAGTTGGGATGCGATCATACCATTTAAATTTGATCAACTCGTTCAAGTTTGGAAGTCATTTACGGGTAGACGAGTTGTTTAATTGATAATAAGATAAATTGTTTCAAATTTCTTAATGTATTTAGAGTTATTGAATTTGAACTCCTGATCACTAGGCACACTATAAGGTGATTTAAACCGTTGTCGCCACCTTTAGGACATGTATGTTACAACCTCTCTTAGCAAAAACTCTAAGACTACTACTCTCTAATAACTAAAACATTTCACGTTTAAGTTTAGATAATATTATTAGTTCGCTCATAATGGTTAGCCTTTTTTTTTTTAGTACTACTGACTCTGTTACAATGTAGTATCTGTTTATAGCTACTTTCTCAATCTACTAAATCATAAAAAGTCAATACCGCTTCCACTGAGACTCAAACTCACAACCTCCCACATAATTAAATTATTTATTAATCCATGTATAATTACATGTCCTTTTGTACTGAAAAGGGTTCTATATTACAGTAAGGAATAAGGACCCTTACCATCTTCATCATCTATCCCAACTTCATTCTAATCACATTATTTATAAACAAATATAGTTGTTTTTAACCATATAATATAATAATAGGGCTTGGGAAAAGAATACTTTTTTTTTTTGGGTTTGGTCCATTTGGATATTGGGCTTCTTGAATCTCCATAGACATTAACATATTATGCAAAACCTCCTAGAAAAAGAAAAAAAAAATCTTATAAGTTACACCATGAATCAGAGTCCATCTTATATTTCAAATATTTGTTCAAAATAAAATTTAAATTATATACTTTTAGTTAATAAATTAGGTACTCATTACAATTAACTTATATATGTGTGCTATTAATAAATTATGTACTTATTACAATTAACATATTATATATATGTATTTGTAGTTTATAAATTATGCATTTATACTTGACGTTAACATATTATATACATTCAGTTAATAAATTATGTAATTATAATCATTAATATATTATATACAGCGAAAGGAGGCGTCTAGCTGGTTTTAGAATCCTCCTAAGGACATTTCAGATGCTCCTGCGTGAAGATGAGTTAGGCTTCCTTGGCCAGATGAATGTTGTGAGGATCAGTTATTGATCTCGAATGTACTCCTCCATTCTTTTAAAAAAATAAAATATTATATACCTTTAGTTTATTTTAGTACATAATTTGAATTTGGTTTTGGATTAATTTGCCCAAAAAAGTTTATGACGACGACAGTACAAGTTGTATGTATGTAATGTATGGCTTCTCCTGAATTGTCTCCTCTGAAGAGGAATGGTAGCTAAGCCATAAAATTTGGTTTAAAAATGGCATTCTCCATTGATCCACCGGCCGGCCCATCCATCAATCCAATTCTCCCCTTCGTGAACCAAAAAAAAAAAATGGCAGTTAGGAAAGCACAGCTATCTCTCCTCCTCCTCCTCCTCCTCCTCCTTGTGGCCAATCTGGCGTTATCCCTGGTGGCGCAATCCAGCATGAACCTGGATCCCGCCTCCGTGGCGGCAGCTGCAAGCGGCGGCGGCGGCGCAATGGACATCGACGACGGGGAGGAGATGATGATGGACTCCGAATCCTCAAGGCGAGTGCTTTTCCGGACCAGATTCTTGAGCTACTCCGTCTTGCGGAAGGACCAAATTCCGTGCGGCATGAAAGGCCCTTCTTACTATTTTTGCCACTCCCACCACCCCATCCGCCCCTACACCCGCGGCTGCAGCCGCTTCACCAGATGCGGCGGAAGAGGCCGTTAATTTTTATCCCATCTCATCTGCCGTTGCATGCATGCATGGATTATTAATCATCATCATCCGCTCGCCTCCCTCAGCTCGCTGCCATGCAAGAAAAAAAAAAAATTCAAGCTTTATTATTTATATTATTATATATATCCCATCTCTTGAATTATATTCCGATTTCTTCATTGGTATCCTTCATCTTTGGAATGGGAAGGGAAGGATTATATATTATTTTTTATATTATTAAATAAATAAATTAAGATTCCTATCCAATTTCTATAGATAATATTCATGATAATTGATATCTATTTTATCTTCAGTTTTTGCAGGCAAATTGTGCATGTTCGATCCGCCATTTCATGCATGTTTTGTTTGCTTTGAACAACAAGAAATTAAGTGAACTACTCATAATTAAAGCAATCCTAAACCTCATCATTCCTACATGACTTTCCATTTTATATCCTCCGATCCAGATCAGATTTCATTTCATTTTCAATTCACTGCATTAACATATACAACTAACAACATTATATCACAGAATTAAAATGAAAGTCACCATTGTAATGGGCGGGTATGAATTTGGCATGGAAGTAGGGCCTCAAGAACCCATCCTGGAAATGAAACGCAGAATCCAAAACCTTCTTGGAGTGCCAATGGCCTCGCAAAGCCTCTCCGTTTTCGGGTGGGAATTAATCGACGGACTCGACATGGAAGATTATCCCATCATCTCCGACGCCACAAAGATCGATCTTTCCATCCAATCAACCCACCCTTTAGATCATCATCATCATCAACAACAACAACCTAGTAACAGTACTAATAAATTCCACATCACTGTCAAATTCTCAGCAAGAAAAATAAACATGGAAGTGGACGCCACCGACACCGTCCGGAGCCTGAAGGAGAAAATCCACATAATCGACGGCACGCCGATAAAGAGGATGGCGCTGTTCTTCTCCGGCAACGAGCTCGAGGAAGAGCACCAGAGCCTGAGCCAGTGCGGCATCCGCGAATTCTCACAAGTTATCGTGTATTTAAAGACAATGTCCCGCGCCATGGCCGACCCTCCTTCCAGGAAGATAAGCTTCCTCGTACAGACCTCTTCCAGCTTGCTTAATGCCGCCAGCATCCCGGTGGAGATGAGCGATTTAACCACGGTTAACGACTTAATCCAATCCTTAATCACCCGAAAATTACTCCCCCAAGATGATTACATCTTCATTCATAAGCAGAGGATCATGAGAGAAAGCTGCAGCCTTCGTTGGCATGGCGTTGAGAATGGCGAGTGTCTCTATGTTTTCAAAGGAACTGTTAGCAGTGGATGATTTTAATTATTGAGGCTGTCATATGATTAACAAAAAAAACATTAGATTTTAATTAATATTGTTCATTCGGACTAACATAATATATAATTCAGTGTTACATATATATTAGTCTAGCTACTATATATCCAAAGATTATATTAATTGATTGTTGTACCAACTATAACTTACACTGTACTGTATATTAATGTATCACAACTATAATTTGTACTGAAAATTAAATGTGAAATGGATCACTCAACATGCTTTAGACCGGCCGGCCTGTTACTTTGATTTATGGAAAAGCCAACAACCATTAATTTAATGTGTTATTCTATGAATAAAATCTATTTTGTATTTCTAGTTGGCGAAATATCACAATACCTGAATGTAAAATCAGCTTAGGCTGTCTACTTATTTAAGTCAGTCAATAACATTAATAGACACTTATAATGAGTTAAATTTAAAACTTTATAATTACTAAATTAATTATTCAACTAACTTGATTATTGACCAGGAATGGCCTGTTCCAATGCATGCAACTAATAGTCAGTCAATAAATGGTTGCTGTCATGTGGCAACTAAATTCCACCTTACTGATAAGCCGGAAGACTGTTTTGTAATATTTGTATTATATATTGTGAATTTGACAGTGATTTTATCCCCTGGCTGACTAGACTTCACTCAGTTCACTGTATTCCTACCAAGCCTTATCTAGAGTGTGACACAGTGACAACGATGTTTCTTTGTTTTTACACTCTTAATGTTAACAACATAATTATTACGGACTACTTTTTTTTTTTTATTACATTAAATATGCGTAAATAAACATAAACAAATATATGTAATCTAACATCATTAACTAATTACACAACTACAAATTACATAACTTAACAATTAGCATGTTCGTGTCCGGTAGGTGAAAAAACAAAGTAGATGAAAACACACTTTCTAAATCTCCAACTACATTCTTTAAGTTCAAACCCAAAATTTTTATCGAAAATCTGCATTATTTATTTCATTCCCACGGATGCTTTTTATTACTTAATTGGCATCAGGGGTGTAATCCGAGCCAAATTCGAGCTCGACTCGGTTATGAAACGAGTCAGCTCGAATTCAACTCGAGTTTAAAGTTGACCAAGCGACTTGATGAATTACCAGCCTAAAACATTTAAGTTCGAGCCAGCTCCATCCAGCTCAAAATTAACTGAGCTCAAACCGAATTTGACCGAGCAATTTGGGAGATGCTTGGCTCATTTTAACCCCTTAGTTGGCATAGGATGGACACCACCTTATCTTTGATTTAATGCTTTTCGGATATTTTCACAATTGACATATGGTGGGCACCATGCACTCCCCTGTTGTTGCATCAAAATTTATTTGAGAAAAGTACACAACACAACAGTTTTGGTTTACCAGGTCCACGTGTCTAATGTCTAACATTTCCGTCTTATTTTTATTGTTATTTATCAGCTATTCATAAATTAAATAACGTTAATATAACCTATCACATTTAAAAAAAATTATTAAGACGCTAATCTTGTAAAAATGAAAGTGACAACTAGTACTATATACACGCTTGAAAATGACATGAGAAAATAAGGATAGAAAGCAAGTCGTATTCGGATAGAGTAGTACACAATAGGAGGTTCCGTTAACGCAATAGGAGATTCTTTAATGATTTTTGCTTGTTTTAAAGTACATGTAGAGGAGAGAAAATGATTAAGTCTGTCAGGAGAGACTGATTTTTACTCTGATCGGTGGACCAATAAAAAAAACAAATAAATTCTTTAATAGTTTTTGCGTTCGCTGGGCTCGTTAATCGTTCTTTTTTTTTTTTCCTCTCTTTTTTTTCTTAGTTGGCTCTTAAAAACTTATGCAAAAACTTAATTATTGGGGATGCTCTAAAAAATACTGGTAGGATAGGACATGAATATGCAAGTTGTTGAACATCTATGAAGCAACTACATTCTTGGCTCATGAATAGACTAATCATGTTTCTGCAATTTGATCATCCTAAATCCCAATTAAGTAGTGAATATGTTTGCATAATTGCTATACTAATGAATAGAACAAACAATCCCAGTGTGATGAAGGAGACAGATGATTTCATTCTATATATGTTTTCACCTACAGAAATGGTAACAGATCTCAATGATTAATGTGATTGTCTGTATAATATTATGCATTATATTCTTTAAAATTAAAAAAAAAAAAAAAAAAAAAATCCCATGACCAACCACAGAGAGGCATATGCACCCAACTACCAACCTATCAAGAAAGTTGGACCACCACAACTACCATTCATGAGGTTTTGGCCTTTTATCAACTCCCATTCTCCTGCCAATTAAAATTCCCAACTACAAAGCATAAAATTCAAGACTTTTCTTGGGATTGGTTTTTTTTTTTTTTTTTACTCTCTTTAATTTTTTTTTTTAAATTTTAATTTCTCTCTATTTATATTGTACATGTTGTTGGCTTATCCATAGCAGTTGCCTCAATACTTCACCTTTTTGGCTACTATTCTTCTGCTTGTGTTTTTGACAATATTTTCAACTCCCATGGCTGACTTGGATACCAATTCAAGTACTTGTGGTACTGAAGCTCAAGTGGATTCTATAGGTAATTAGTGAATACACTTTTGCTTTTAGTTGCCTGTTTCTTTTCTACAAATTTCTGCATTTTTGTCATGATTATATATATTGTACTGTCAAAACAAAACCAGTTGCCATGCATCTTGATGTTTGTTTTTTGGTGTTGGTTAGCAGTTGAGGTCACAAGTAAGGGTTCAGAAAAGGAGCTTGTGTTCTCAGAGGATGAAGAAATCCTTATTACCAGAATGTTCAACTTGGTTGGAGAAAGGTACATATAACTAACCCTCTAAAACCAATCAAGATTGCTAATTCTCATACCATTTCTTGCCCACAAAAGGCAAAATCCTTCGTCCTGGCCCCCCACACTCTCGATTTGTAGAGGTGGTAAATAACGGTGATTCAGTAGTCCATTAGGTGAGAGGATCATATCTGGTGCTCACCATATTGGGTGTAACTCTCGCACTGTGACTGTTAGGACTCGATCTTGCGTTCTTACTCACAATCTGCCACTCAAAAATCAACTGAATTACCCGTGCTGGCATTCTCATATCATTATTTCTCCTAAGATGTTTGGTTGTGGTGATGATCAAACTAGGTGGTCGCTGATTGCTGGAAGAATCCCAGGAAGAACTGCGGAGGAAATCGAGAAGTACTGGAATTCAAGATACTCCACCAGCCAATGAGATGGAAGAAGAGGGTTGTTCTGATTTCTGAGACCAGTGAAAGAATATTCACCTGTGTACTAGGAATTTAAGAAAATATTTTTGGGGCATAGGTTTAGCAGTTATTGCAGATTTACTAATGGTGACAAGGTTTGTACTATGAACATTATGGTATTTTAATTTAAGGTGCAATGAATTTTCTCTTCGGATTGTGTTTCCTCCTCTTATGACTAACACATGCGAGAAGCGTTTGAGCATAAAATATATAAACCGATGTAATTTTTATGAGAGTTTTCTGGCTGGGCAGACAATTTATTAGTTTTAAAAAGGTACAAAATTTTCAGGGAATTTTTTGGTACCTCAAACAACATGTCTCCAGGCTCCAACATATGACCAAAACCCACCACCTTGTCTGTAGTTAGTCACATGCCATTAGCCACATATTGCCTGAACTAGCTAGGCATTTTCAAGAACTGAAATTTTACAGGAGATCAGAGGTTTCAAGTTCGAATAAAAAAAGGTTGTAACTTTAAACTTTTTACAGGAGAGGTTTGAGAAGCCGATGAATAGATCACAAACATCAAAGAAAGACTACGTGTACAAAAATGCAGACATCAAACACAGCCATTGGAAACACACACACACACACACAAAAAGTGTACAAACGCAACCATTAACATCTGATCAGACACCAATGAATATAAGCTGTACTGATTCCTTTTTCTACTTCCTAACCAATGATCTCTCAAGATTTTGAATAAAAATTTGAAGCTTTTAATTTGTTGCTAAAGCTCCGAATTGTAAGCCTGCCTAATCAAATATCCATGGAAAGTTACTGTTTTTACCCGTGATGTATGGATAAATTTTTTTAATTATATATTTAAATAATAAAATTAATGATGAATGTGATTACATGACCAGTGACGAGAGTTTTGATTCTTTTAGGTATCAGAAAGACTTTTTTCATTCAGCTCAAAAATTTGTAAGGAGAAATTTTGTTGGCCGAAGCTGTTAGTGGGAGATTGGGGTTTCGATAGTTATACTAGTGATTTGGAGGAGATCTCGCAAAAAGTATTTAGCCCATTTTGGAAAACTCTCCATCATCTTTCATTGGTTAAGCGGCATGTATTCCCACCGTGCTAGTTCAATTATGAAGCGTGGCTAAGTGATCAACTCACATTGGGCCTAGTGCCCAGGTGGTTTGGCCGATAGTGGGTCAAAAAATATTGAATATAGATGTGGGTGGGGATTATCGAAGGAATACAAATAACCTTTTTTTTTGTTTTTTTTTTCCTTTCCAGATTTGCTACTATCTTATAAAGAATTATAAGTGTTTTAATATTATCTACTAAAAATAAGAATTAAATGCACAATTTTATGGGGTATGAGATTGAAGGGGCCATGGGTGCGAGAGTCCATTTTATTGAGAAAGACTTAGGCTCAAGGGACTGGTAAACGAAAATGGTGGCCTATGAAGGTGAAGGGGTTTTGATGGGCTATCAAGGAGGAAGTTATGGTGGCCCAAGCGAGGAAAGAGGTTATGTTGGGTTAGAGATAAAGAAGTCATGATGGCCCAATAAGAGAAGGGAAGTCTTAATGGGCTAAAGGTAGAAAAGACATGGTGACCCAAACGGTAGAGGAAGATGGTAAGAGATCTGCAGAGCAAAATGAACCCACTAAGCTATCCATGAACTCACGCAAATTATGACCACACACGGCGCAAATTATGCCATGGAATCGTGTTCACGAGAATGGTGAACACAAGGCAAAACGATGTCATTTTTAGGCAAAAAAAAAAAAATCGCGGATGTGGAGTTAACGGTGCGCGTTTGATCAAATTATGAATTTTCTGTTATGAGATTATGAATTTTATGAAAATTCATAATCTCATAACAGAAAATTCATAATTGCATAACAGAAAATTCATAATCTCACAACTGAAAATTCATAATCTCATAACAGAAAATTCATAATCTTATAACAGAAAATTCATAATCTCATGGTTCCAAAGTGAATGTGTAGGCATGGTTCCAAAGTGAATGTGCAGGCATGGATTCATAATTTATGAATGTCCGTGATTTCGGACGGGAATGTGTAGGCATGGTTCCAAAGTGAATGTGCAGGCATGAATTCATAATTTATGAATGTCCGAAATCATTGTTCACCTCAAATTAAAGTGAAACCGCAAAATAACAGAAAATTCATAATCGCATAACAGAAAATTCATAATCTCATAACTGAAAATTCATAATCTCATAACTGAAAATTCATAATCTTATAATAGAAAATTCATAATCTCATGGTTCCAAAGTGAATGTGTAGGCATGGTACCAAAGTGAATGTGCAGGCATGGATTCATAATTTATGAATGTCCGTGATTTCGGACGGGAATGTGTAGACATGGTTCCAAAGTGAATGTGCAGGCATGAATTCATAATTTATGAATGTCCGAAATCATTGTTCACCTCAAATTAAAGTGAAACCACAAAATGTGAAAATGAAGAAGAAAAGTCACGCAATTAATTAAAAAAAAAAAAAAAAAACGATAACGGTGTACTAACACCGTTGGAACCGTGTTCACCATGAATGGTGAACACGGTTCCATGGCATAACGTCCCCCACACACGGTTGCAAAACGACACTGTTTACGGTGATAGAGTAACGGTGCTATTATTGGCAACGTTTAACTCCACCAATCAAATAATATTTTATTTATTTATTTGTTACAAAAACTCCAATCGACATGTAATTATGAACTTATAGTTATGCAAGTCTGAATATATAGTTATGAAGTTATGGATATATAGTTATGAAATTATGTATATATAGTTTTGAAATTATGGATGTGTAGTTATGCAATTATGGATATAGTTATCTGTGAACAAGCATTTTAAGAATTCTGAATATGGAGTTATATAATTATGAATGTCTAGTTGTGAAATTATGAATATATGGATATGAAATTATGAATGTGTAATTATTATTTCTGAATGTACTGTTGTCAAATTATGAATATATAGTTATGTAATTCTGGATATATAATTATGTAATTGTGGATATATAAATATGAAATTATGGATATATCCTACTGTTTGAATACAAAAGGGAACCTCCTAACACCGATTAACAACAATCCGAACGGGATTTTTTTTTTTTTTTTTTTTTTAATGAAACGGCATCGTTTTGTAATTGCACATCAGTACGATTCATGAACTCAAGTACAACAATACGCTCACCTATCAATTAAGCTATTTACCTCTTGTTTATGAAGACGTGGTAGGACATATATGTTTGCATGAAGGGCATTGGCAGCAAAGTAGTGAAGTGAAAAATGGGACACATAGATGGTGCAGATAAGAGGGAAGACAATATAGTTAGCCTAGTCCACACATTTGTCATCTATGAAGGAGGCTCCTAAAGTACTATAAATACATGCAATGTCTTGCCTCTCACTAAGACATCGTGGTCTCAACATTACAAGCTAAACCCCTCCAATGGTGTTTGGTCTTTATTAGGATTTGATCCCCAATAGCTACAATATTGATTTAATTACCTTCTCTGAATTTACCTCTTCAAAGACTTGTTCATGAGATTCAAGATATAATTGAAAAATAAATTTTAGTCGTTATAATCAACATATTTTGATCAATAAATAAAAAATGATATCTCAAACCACCTTTTAATTTTTACCCACCTTTATATTATTGGTTGGCCCTATTTTGTCAATGTAACGTTGAACAAAAAAAATCATACACACATAACGACGAGATGTTTTTTTTTTTTTTTTTTTTTTTTTTTGGTGCACTATTTAGACTTAGTACGCTTCAACACAAAGTTTCCAAGTGTACCTGAAATTCTTCATAAGTTGCATCACTGAATAGTCTTGGTCCGTGCAGGAACCCACTCAAAATATACAAGTGGATCGTCTTCAAAGAGACACATCAGATCAGATCATATAGCAATGCACTAAGCCTAGCCCCAACCTCTAGTACATCATCAATGGCATTATATTATATATGTTGCCTTGACCACATATCTTATTTCACATTTACTTTGTTGAAGCCTGGCCCAATTTCTAAACATTTCAACAATCTTAGGGAAGATAAGTAGTTACATGATCTATCATTTGAATCGTGAGTGATGAGAATATACATTATGTATATCACATACACTTGTTCATTCGTTTTGACCTCTTTAGGTCACCTCCTTATCTCAATGACCAAGAGGCCAATCGCCCTTGATAAGTTTTTAGCTGTCAGAATGTATCTTTAGTTGATATTTTGCCAGAGGTTACATATGCATCAATGTTAGCATGTGTCACGAGCGACCTGACGAGCTATTGGCTGAGCGCCACTTCAATCTTATCAACGGAACTCCGGCATGTGTTTCTCGCCTCAACGCTAAAAATATTCCATCTTATATATTTATGGGATAAATAGTTACATGCATGACCAATCATTTGAATTGTGAGTTTGAATTTTCTAATCGGACTTGAGTTGTGCTCGCAAAGTTTAACGCATGTGAAAATTAGAAGGGGAGTGCATATATATAGTATATATAGCATTACTCCTTCTAGTCTTAAGGCAATGTAAAACAAATTCTACAAGGTTTTAATTTGTTATACTCTAGATGTTATTTATATAGTTACTTTGGTTGTACCAAGTTAGCTTAGCATAAATTTTGTATCTTAATTACATGTAGTGAATTTAATGCATACTAATATTTTCGAGAGTGTACATTGGGTAAACTCAACTTTTGTATAATAATCTGCAAATCACATATGAGAAGTAAATCGCACCGCACTAGTAATGCATACTAATTAATTCTATAGTTAGGAATGCTTGTTGCCTCACCTGTGCATCATTAATGGGAAACACAGAATGTCAATTAGCAACATCTCCCCACTTATCAAACATAACACATGAGCATAATAATCTCAATAATAGTAAAGAAAATTTAAAAATGTTTTGTCGTTGTATACTCGTGTTGCGTTTGACTAAGTTATGTCAGACAATATATATTATATATTCTACAATTTTATTTTTTAATAATATCAATTATCTGTTGGCTTGATATGGTGTATGTTGTCTTTCCCTGCAAAGAATCCTATGTCGTAGCGAACAAGGTTTAATTAGCTTAGGTAGCTAGCATATTACATTTGTCAAGGATTACAATGACATTTCTTATCAAGATTAGACTAAAGGG